CCTTCACAAGAAGAGACAGGTAAGTACAGAGGTATTGGGCGGTGGGTAGTTCTGACTCCCAGCACCTAAGGCTTCAGGTCAGAGGCATTCAGTCCTCCTCTAGGACAGAGGCCAGGACTGTGGTGCCCATGAGACCTGCTCAGGTGAGTGTTCATATACTGAGTGGGGTAGGGGACACCCATACAATTTCCAGGCAAGTATAGTCCTGGCTCCACCCCCAAACCCTCTGACACTATTTCCATTTGAACCTATGAAGTACACAGAGGTTGGGGGTTCTGCCATACCCAGAAGAACCAGGTGAACGTGGTTTACTGAGAACTGAACCGCTGGACACTGCAAGATCTGCAGCAGACCATGGACATGATGGAGTAGCAGATGCTGCTGACCCTGCTGTCTGTGTGGGTAGCTTAGCTGGACCTTATGAGCACCAGTGTGTCTTCTGTCATCTCCCCACCCCACCTGAGTTGGTCTTGCATCCACAGGTGGAAGAGAACATGATTCTGCTGGAGAAGGATGAGAAGGAATCGGCAGTCATGTGCTGTGAGGAGAGGCTACAGGACGGGTGCTGGAGATTCAGCACCAGCTGCTGCTCCAGCAGAAAGACCAGGAGCAGAATGCCACCCTGGATGCCCAGGTGGGTCTGAGAATGCTCCTGAAGACAGGGATGCATGAGGGAGCAAGGGTCAGGGTGTCACCTCTTGCAATCTGCCCACTCTGCTTAGGCTCCTGATGTTAGCATAGACTGGGTATGGACACCTGTGTCTGCCACAAGACGTGCAGAATCCTTGGCACCTGCCAGCTGATGGCAGCAATGTCAGCTGCCATCCCACCCTGGTGTCTAGCACAGCAACAGTATCCCATCAAGGGCAGATCAGAGGGGTTCCTGTTTCCTGGATGAGATGGCTAAGTCAGCCTCCAACCTTATGACTTTCCTATGGCCAGGAAACCTGAGGCTGGAGGCTGCCAACACCCTGTTGGCTGCATTCTCAATCTGCTAGGGAATCCTGGAGCAATTTTATAAAGCTAAGCACATGGCTTCCATGACTGTACCCTTAACACAAATGCCAGCGTAACCATCCCCATTTTCTGAGTGTCGGATTAAAGGCATGTGTCACTACCACTTGGCAATAGCCTCCCTCCAAAACATGTGAGAACCTGTATTCAGATTGTTAGCCCAGCCTACAGAGCAATTTTAGAGTGTTTGATGACTGGGTGTCTTTCAGGGATGTGAAGCCTATGGGTCGCAAACTGAGGATTCCCAATCTGTAAGTGCTTGTATGTATGAATATCTGACAATTTTCTCTCAAGTTTTATAAAAATCTAGTGAAATTATACATAAACTTGTTGGAATTGAGTTACTTCAATGTAGAAGCTTAGTTCTAAAGTTTTCATTGTATTTCATAATCATTTTCTGAGACTTTTGGTTTTTTGAAAAAGGGCTTCTCTGTAGTCTTGGCTGTCATGGAACTCACTCTATAGACCAGGCTGGCCTCAAATCCAGAGATACCCCTGCCTCTGCTTCCTAAGTACTGGTATTAAATGGGTGTGCCACAGCCCGACTGGGAAAGTAATCCTCTTGGTAGTGTTCTTGCCTAGTGTAAATGATGCCCTGGGTTTATTCCCAGCACTGCACAGAACCTCACGTGGTGGTGCATGTCTGTACTTCAGAACATGAGAATCGGAGGCAGGAGGATCAGAAGGTGCTGCTTTGTCCTTTGTACTGCTGTGATGTTAGTTCACTTCCCCACATTCTTAACCTTAGGTAAACACTGACACTGTGTCCTACCTAGCTCATTAGGTCAGAACAGATGAGAACTGCATTTTTTTTCTATGTAGCTTGAACTCAGGATCCTCCCACCTCACCTTCCTGAGTGCCACAATTACAGGCTAACTATCCAGTTACAATCATGTGAATCATAGTGAAGGTTAACGAGTCATTTTCTAAACCTGGCATGATGCTTGTAACCCTGGCCCTCAGAAGTGGGAAGTAGAGAATTCAAGGCCAGCCTAAACTAGGGAGTAAAACCCCATGCCAACAAAATCCTTTTCTAAGTCATGGTTTCTCAACCTCGGAGTACTGATTCAGAAGAGAAAACTGTCAGGGAAAGGGTGGATGGTGCCCTGTATCCTGTGCCATGTTATACTGTGGCATGCTTAGCACCATCCCTGGCCTCACAGGTTGATAGAGGTACTTTCTTCCCAAGGCAATCCAGCCAAAATGCCTCCAGACATTGTCTAATGTCCACTCAGCTGCAGATCAGCCCTGATGGAGACTGCCTTGGGGAAGAGGGAGTGGATTATCCCCTGGGAATAGATGAGCAGGCTTGGAGGGGCCTCTTCCTGAGAGAAGGGACCCAGTGGGTTATCCCTATAGCCCATTTCTCCATCCACATCACTGAAGATGTTCCAGTCCTAAAAGGATTATCAGTGTAAGACCTGCTCCATGTCATGAAGAATAAATTGTGTTCTAGAGCCTGGGTGGGACATAGATCAGGGATGGCCTGCCATAACTGAGTCAGTGTCCTTGTCCTGTCCATCCCCAGAAGCACCACTACAGGAAGCTCCCAACTGAAGTACACCAGGCTCTGGGCCAAGTCCCTGCTGGCTACATCCCTTACTTCACACACCGCTTCCCGAGGCTGCTGCTACACACTTACCATGCCCTGAGAAGCTGTGCTTCTGAGAGCTTCTTCCTGCCCTACTAGTCACCAACTTTGGATGCTGGGAGGTCCTGCCAGATGTCAAAGATCTGAGACAACCAGGTGCCCCAAAGGTGGACCAAGGAGTTAAGGCTATGGCTCAACCTTGTCTAGGGAGCATCAAAATATTGAACAGCAGTTTAGCAGCCTGAGGCTGTTGGAACAGAGGAATACTCTGGGTTCTGGGTACTCACAAAAACACAGGGTAAGAAAAGATATGCACATATATTGAATAAATATAAAGCCAAGGAAAGAACAGTCAAATCCAATAGAAATATATCTATACAAGTTACACATTAGACTGAGGGCAGGGGAAGAGGTTATAAACTCAGATCCAAACATATACAGAAATAACTCACACAGCAACCCCTTCCCCACCCAGC